TTTTTTGAGACAGAGTTTCACTTGGTCACCCATCGGTAGAGTGCCATGGACAGCAACCTCAAACTTTTGGGCTTAAGCGATTCTCTTGCCTCAGCCTCCCAAGTAGCTGGGACTACAGATGCCCACCACAATGCCCAGCTATTTTTAGAGATGGGGTCTCCCTCTTATTCAGGCTGGTCTCAAACTCCTGAGCTCAAACAATCCACCTGCCTCAGCCTCCCAGAGTGCTAGGATTACAGGTATGAGCCCCCATGCCCGCCTGGGAAGCAAGTTTTGATAGAGGCAAAAGGGGTGAGAACAAGCTTCCCTTAACTACCCAGGCCCTGCTGAGACTGACTTAGGCAACAGAAGTGGGAGTGCTCTTCACTGCTGTCCCCGGGAAGGAAGATTCCCCAGGCCTGGGCTGAATTAAAGGGGTGTGACTCCAGGCACTTTGAGGCAATGCAGCCAGCTGCAGGGAGAACTGGAACCCTTCTTGTCTGGAGCCAAGGTCAGCACTGGGAAGTCAATTTCATGTGTGCCATCCAAAAGGTGAGTTCAGGACAGAAAACCAGTATAGAATGTTACTTGTGCCTGGCGGCAATGGTCAAAATATTTAACAGGTGTAATACAGAGATGTGGATATAGAAATACAATATATAGAAAGGGAGATATTTGGATGAATTGGTACACATTATATATTAATCAAAATTGAAATACATAGAATTCATTTCATTCTCTGAATTCTATATGCTTACACATCCTAAGATGGCTCATTAAATAACTCACCAAATAGTTCTAATAATTTTAATTTTTCAGTTGATTTTTAGAAAATCTTGATGTAGTTTGACATGGGCTGTTACTACCACATAATGCCCCTGAGTGAGTAATGATGTGATGTAGAGAACATCCAATTCTTCTAACGGTGACACCATGAACTTGATAGTCATTAGGTAACTTGTAGTCTCAATTTGTAGATAATTCATTTTAGTATTATGTTGTTCAAGATGCTGATGTCTCTCTCAGCTTCTGCTAAAGTTAGAGCGTTGACATTTGAAGACTTTTTGGCTCTTATAATTCTGTTTGAGAATTTTGTATATTAAACATTTCGTTTATTTTCATGACATTTCATGCCTAAATCCTGAAAATCATTTATTGAAATTTTGTGTGAAGTTCTTTGCCTTAAAATGTTGCTGGTTTTTTTCAATCCAAAGAGATTCACAAACATCAGTTGGTCAAATTTCAGATTTCCATATTATGTGTTTTGTCTTCGTATTTGTCAGCAAACAATAAATCCACTTTTGAACAATTTTTAAGGCAAATAAATAGTATTTCTTCTTAGAACTGACATTTATTTAGTTTCAAAGGGTACATTCTAATTTCTTGTCTCTGCAGTATCATCCATCTTTCTTTTATACTTGGCTGTATTTTGTTTTATATACTCAATAACTTTTCCCTTCCATCTAATTGATCTGCTAGCTTTTATATAGAAACATTTCTTTCTTGTAAAGCTGAAGAAAGCTATTGACACCTCACTTAGAATATCATTGATTAAAATTGGCACCATGGGCCATCCGTACATATTAGTGTTTCATTTACTTTTAATAAAGTTTATGGCCTTTTTTAGTTTGAAAAAAAAAAAAGATGATTGATTGTTCTTTGGCATCCTCGCTTCAAAGATGACAAAGAAAAGAAGGACCGACAGTCCTTCCAAAAGGCCCGTGGCCATGTGCAGCTCCTCGGCTGCGCGAACCTCGCCCGCTGCACGCCTCAAGACAAAGCTATAAAGACGAGGGTCAAGAGGAACCCAGTGGAGGCCGCAGCTGTCAGGGGTATTTCGGAGGCGAGTGTCTCGGATGCCTCTGTGCTTCCCAAGCTCTAGGTGAAGCCACCTTAACTGTGTGAGATCCGCTACAGACAGCAGGGTAGGCAGGGACTGTTCTCCGGAAGCCGGCAAGGGCCAAACATCTCCACCCGGAAGTAGAGGTGCGGATGCTGCCCCACGACCTCCCCCAAAGCCCATGGAAGCAGTTGAGTCCTTGAGGACTGAAGAAAAACTATCCTTTGGGGAAAAAATAAAATGGAAATTCTACTTCCCCCAAAAAGAATATCATTGATTGAAGCCAAATCTCTTGAAACTATGCCATATATACCATGGGATATTAATCAACCCTAAAAAAGAATGAAACACTGTCTCTTGCAGCAACTTGGATGAAACTGGAGACCATTTTCCTAAGTGGGATGTCTCAGGCATGAAAAACCAACAGCACACGTGCCATCTACTGAGTGAGATGTGATCGGTGGGCACACGTGGGCATTAAGAGATAGAAAAGGCCTTGGGAAGCATATTTGCACGTGAGTGGTTCCATGGTGTAATGGCAGCACTCTGGCCTCTGAATCCAGCAATCCGAGTTCGAATCTCGGTGGAACCCCAAAAATAACTTTTTAGCCCCATGCTGTAATCCTAGCACTTTGGGAGGCCAAGGCCATTCATTGTATTGCCCCAGCTCACAACTTCCACACCCACCAGAACCAGAGTGAGACCCCTGTCTTTAAAAAAATAGCTGGCCTGTGGGGCGGACCCCTGTACTCCCAGCTACTTGGGAGGCTCACGCGACAGAATCACGTGACAGAATCACGTGATTCCAAGACTTGGACGTTACTGGCAGTTGTGACGTTACCAGTTGTGACATCACTGGGAAGGGCAAGCTAAAGACCCTAACTGAAGCATGACTGTTGGCCGGGCGTGGTGGCTCACGCCTGTAGTCCCAGCGCTGTGGGAGGCCGAGGCGGGTGGATCACCTGTGCTCAGAGGTTCGAGACCAGCATGAGCCAGAAGGAGAGCCAGAGTGAGACCCCGTCTCAACCAAAATTGCCGGGCGTTCTGGCAGGCGCCTGTAATCCCAGCTACGTGGGAGGCTGAAGCCATTAAACCCAGGGACCCAGGGGTTGGCAGAGGTTGCTGTGAGCTATGTACCCTACTGAAGAACACAAAGCAAAACTCTGTCTCCTCCATTAAAAAAAAAATAAATAAAATAAAAGCAAAAAAAAAAAAATTTTTTTTAATTTTTTTCAGATATAGTATTTAGTGAATTACACTTCATTTCTATTAAAATGAAAAAATAAAATAGAAAAAAAAATTTTAAACTTCAAGTTAAACAACTGAATACAAAATTCAAAAAAAAAATGTTTCCAGATACAATGTTTAATGAATTACACTTCATTTCTATTAAAATGACTACACGGGGATTGATATCATCTCCAAAATGTTTCTGCAGCTCTCACCCTACCCGCTACCTCAGGAGAGCCAAATGTTCTTCTCATTTTCATCACTTTCATTTCTAGATTTGCAGATGTTATACTTCGGTCTTTCCAATTATTATTATTATTTTATTTTTTGCAAAGATGGAGTCTGTGTTGTTCAGGCTGGTCTCCCAACGCCTGACCTTAAGCAATTCTCTCACTTCGGTCTCCCAAAGTATGGACATTACCCGTGTCAGCCACTTTGCCCAGCTAATTATTATTTGGGAAAGGCAGTATATTATAAGATTTATTGAGAAAGGATTTTAAATCTGTTACTTCAGGGGGCCTCAAACTTTTGCAGTAATCAACCGAAAGGGAGATATTTTAGGATTGGCCGGACACACAGCGTCTATAGCAACTACTCAATTCTGCTAGCGTGGCAAGAAAGCAGCCACGGACCCGAGATAAATGAATGGGTGTGGCTGTCTTCCAATAAAACTTTGTGGACACGAGAATTTGGATTTTATATAATTTTCACTTGTCACAAAACAGCTTTCTTCTTTAGCTCATAGGCTGTACAAAATGAGGTTGCAGGCCACATTTGACTCCTGTGCCCAGGAAACAATCTCTGTTTTTCCTGATTCGTATTTTTATTGCCTTCTCCAAAGATAACTGAATACAGAGTCTTACTTCCGATTTAAAATATCCAGAGGGATTTCTAAAATTCTGACTGAAGCTCTATTCTTTTTAGCAGGCAATGAACTTTTTCCGTAAATATTTGTCATTTAAATAATTTGTCTCCTGGCTCGGCGCCTATAGCACGGTAGTTACGGCACCAGCCACATACACTGAGGGTGGCAGGTTCCAACCTGGCCCAGGCCAGCTAAACAACTGCAACAAAAAAGTAGCCGGGCATTCCGGCGCGCGCCTGTAGTCTCAGTTACTTGGGAGGCTGAGGCAAGACGATCACTTAAGCCCAAGTGAGTTTGAGGTTGCTATGGGCTGTGACATCACTGCACTCTACAGGGCGACATAATCAGACTCTGTCTCAAATAAATAATTTGTCTCAAGCCCCAACAGTAGAGTATGGTTTATTACTTCTTTTGCTTCTGTAACATCAACAAAACCTGCGAAACTACCCTCTGAGTCTTAAATTTTATAAGTTAGGCAAGTTATTAAAATAATTTGTTGTGGAAAAGTTGGAGAACCCTTGATAATTATTGAAAGGTTTATCTCTTGGTTTCAGACGTTTTCCTAAAAATTATTTTCTCACTTCACTGGGTACGTTTTGCCATAGGAAGGGCCTTAAGTCTTAAGCATTCGTATGCTCATAGTGATATTATTCTTTCTTTGAAGTTCTCATAAAAATTTCCTTTCTGAAAAAACTTGGTTATTTTTAACTGCACAGTGGATAATGTTTAAAATTCTAGCTGTGTTTTCTAAATGTTTTTCATTTGCTTTTTGCCATTATGATCAAATTTGAGGGGAGGTAATTTTATGAATGCAAAAGGTATGAAATTGATTCTTGACAGTATTCCCATTTTGTCCTCATTGATGGTCGTGGACATTTTTCCCCAAAAGCATAAATTTTAACAGAATTTGAATGCCATTTTGATGCAAACCACATTTAGCACTTTCCAATTTGAGCGGTACAAGTTTGGGGTACATTTGTACCTAACATTTATGTCAGGAGGAATAATAAGCTACCTGCATTTTTTTGTGGAAATAATTAACCTAGTTTTTTATTGTTGAAGTACAGATTCTTTTATTTTGGACAGGGAGGAGAAAGACTGAGAACAGGATCTTGGAAAACAGCAATATTTAACCATCAAGGAGGCTGCAAAGACAAGTCTACGAAGAAGACTAAGAGCAAACTCTCAAAGAGGAGGAGGATGTGAAGTGCAAGGGTGAGAATAAGAAGGCCTTAACTGTGGCTCATGCCTGTAATCCCAGCACTGTGGGAGGCCTAGGCGGGTGGATTGCCTGAGCTCAGGAGTTCAAGACCAGGGTGAGCCAGAGCGAGACCCCCCCTCTCTAAAACAAAGCTGGCATTGTAGTGGGGGCCTGTAATACCAGCTACCTGGGAGGCTGAGGCAAGAGAATCACTTGAGCCCAAGAGTTTGAGGTTGCTGTGAGCTGTGACATCACAGCAGTCTACAGAGGGCAACAAAGTGAGACTCCATCTCAAAAAAAAAAAAAAAAAAAAAAAAGGTCCTAACCCCTCCGTGTGAGCAGTTGCTGGGACTTTGTAGGTAAGGTCTGAAGGAACTTGCAGTGGTTGGGAAAATGAATGGGAGATGAGAAGTGAAGAGCATAATAAAGAAGTTAGAGGAAAAGGGAACGAAAAAAATTGGTTCTGGCAAGATGAGAGAGAGGGCAAAGAGAGGGTTTGATTGGAAGGTGTTTATAGCCTAGATGAATAAAAGGTAGAGGAGGGATGGGGATTGCAGATGCAGGAGAATCAGGTAACTGAGGACCGGGACGGGAGGCAATCCAATGCCTGGGTGGATGAAAAGCGGACACAGAAGTAGAGGGAAGACCACTAGCACCAGAAGCAGAAAGAATCCATCTGACTCCACTGGTAGCACAAAAGGCTTTCTACTTGGCATCTGTGTCTGAGGTGGTCCCACGCTGACAGTACAGGACTTTAAGGTGTGATGTGAACGCTGGAGACTGTTGCTGTGGACAGTGGGAGCAGGAGGATGTGATCAGAGAGCAGGGCTGTAGAGTTGAAGAGTTTAAGATCCTGGGTAAGCCCTGTAACTAGCTCTCTCCAACTGCCTTGCCCCAGCTTTACTGATACTGCCAAGCTGTGATGTCATCAAATAGGAAATTAAGACGATGTAGCCTATATTTTGTGCCTGGGATTTTCCGGTTTCATTTCCTGCTGCTTCTTACCGTGGACAACCATTTACATGGAGATTGACCCCTTCACAGCAGATCACATAATCTTATTAAGGATTGGGAGCTAACAGCTAAGGGCAACCCAGTGGTCCATCCACTGGTCTTACAATGTTGTGAATCCCTAGGCAACTCTGCCTTTTTTTGTTTGTTTGTTTTGGAGACAGAGTCTCACTTTGTTGCCCCCAGTAGAGTGCCATAGTATCATATCTCACAGCAACCTCAAACTCTTGGGCTCAAGCAATTCACTTGACTTAGCCTCCCCAGTAGCTGGGACTATAGGCATCTGTCAAAATGCCCAGCTATTTTTAGAAACGAGGTCTTGGTCTGGCTCAGGCTAGTCTCTAACCTGTGAGCCCAGGCAGTCCACCCGCCTCAGCCTCCCAGAATGCTAGGATTACAGGCATGAGCCACTGCGCTGGGCAGGAATAATTGTTAATCGGTGAAATAACTGGGGTTCAAGATATATAGTTGGCTAAAAGGATTCTGAGGGACCCGAGCCCTTGCCTCAATAGAGTAGAACCATCAGACAAGCCTGGGGTCTAACACCATTGGAGTGATGGTCTTGTGCCTGCCACTTAGGAGGAGTAGGAGTTTCAGGAAAAAGCTTGTTACAGTGCCCCAAAGGGCAGAACAGGCCCTCATCAAATTCACAGGAACAGACTGTATATCAGGTTTTGTGCCTACATAAATAAATGATTTTGACTGAATCCTCTCTAGGACTTCTTTTATTATAGCGTGAGAGTCACGTTGTGGAGAAGGAAGGAGACAAAAAGTGTCTGCCAACTATAATTGTGGGAAGCTACTATATTTATCCAAACAACCTGACAGCAGTGTAGGGCCAAATTCATTCATTCTTCCAATAGATATTTTGAGAGGGCCTATTCTAGGACTTGGAGATATGAAACGAAACAAAACAAAACAAAACAGGCAAAGCCCCACGTTGTACAGTGGCTTAGATCAGTTTACAACAAGTGGGTTTCCAAAGCAAATGGTAGATTCTACAAAAAGGTATCCTAAATACTTTGGAAAGCCTTGAGAAAGCAAAGATTTCAATCTCTACGGCTCTTTAAGAAGGAAACAATTATAGATGTCATACAAGAGAAAACCCTGAATTGTGTGTGAAACTAAGAATCAAGGAATATTTAGTGATTCTCCAAGTGCAGTCCCAGAAAAGCAGAATCAAACATAAAAGGGGACACCTGTTAGGAATCGAGATTCTTAGCCCTCACCCCAAAGCTCCTAAATAAGAAACTCTGGAAGAATGGCAGTGTTTGATTTAAAAAGCTTTCCAAGTGATATGGATGCCAAGTTTAAGAATCACTGATGTACTTCATAACAAAGGCCAATTCCAGGTGGCACTCTCTCATAAGTAACAAAAATATTTTTATCCTACAACTGTTTGATAATCCCACCAGATGGCATTATAACACGAGAAATAAAACCATATATCTACTGAAATTACAGGAAAACACCGCTGGTGGCACTCTAACTTGGATACAGCAGAGTCCCCACTTATCCAGTCTTGCTTTCTGTGCTTTACGTTACCTGGTGTCAACCTGGGGCTGAAAATATTCCATGGAAAATTCCAGAAATAAACAATTCTGGAGTTGTTTAAAATTGCATGTCCTATGAGTAGTGTGAAAAAATCCTGCCCTGTCTCAACCTAGGATGAGAATTGGTCCTTTGTTTGGCATTTCCACACTTGTCTATGCTACTTGCCCATGAGTCCCTTAATATATAGAATTTAGTACTATTCCCAATTTCAGGCATCTGCTGGGGGAGCCAGCAACATATCCTCTGCAAATTCTGTTGTGCAATCACCTGACAGTACCACCTGGTGGCATTCTAACCTGAGCACTGCAGTAGGGAAAGTAGACATGAAAATTTCATATCTGCATGTAATTATGTGGAAATTCTACTTGCTGGCACGCTAACCGAATTAATAAGAAAAATATCTGCTTTCACAGAGGGTGCTCTAACATAAGAAATAAAATCCTGTTCTGTCATTACGCGAAAATTCCACAGGAGGTGATCTAACATAGCAAAACTTAAAAAAAAAAAAAAAAAACTGTCCTGCATGCTTGAAGATGGGGCTCTAACAGAAGAAATAAGAAAAACCCAGCACCTGCAATTAGGAATAAATTCCACATGATGACACTCCAACATAAGAAACAGAAAAGGTTGGAGCCACAATTACGTGCAATGTCCACATGCCAGCGCTCTAATAACAAGAAAAAGTCCACTCTAAAGTTACATTAAAATTTCGGGGGGTGATACTCATAAGAAATAAGAAAACTTGCCACGTGTTTATGGAATTCACTGGGAACTTAAGCAAATATATATATAGATGTGCATGTATGTATGTATCAAGAAATACGTGATAAACTTATAGATTCAACTTATTTACTTAGCAAGTTAAAGTGTAAATTAAAACTTAGTATATATTTTTTGAGTGCTTTAAATACCAGAATTATGTTTATTCTTTGTGTTGTTTATACATTCTTCCCACCACTAGCATATCCCTGTGGTCAGCAACCAAATACTGTAGTTTTTCAATCTACTCAGCCTCTTCTATAGTAGCTGATGCATAATAGGAATTCAATGTACATTTTTTTTTTGAGACAGAGCCTCAAGCTGTCCCCCTGGGTAGAATGCCGTGGCATCACAGCTCACAGCAACCTCCAACTCCTGGGCTCAGGCCAGTCTCCTGCCTCAGCCTCCTAAGTAGCTGGGACTACAGGCGCCCAACACAACGCCCGGCTATTTTTTGGTTGCAGCCGTCATTGTTGTTTGGCAGGCCCGGGCTGGATTCGAACCTGCCACCTTAGGTGTATGCAGCTGGCGCATTAGCCACTTGAGCCACAGGCGCCGAGCCTCAATGTACATTTATCAAATAAAGAATTAATAAATCTGTGAGAAGTCACTGAAGATCAAATGAATAGAAGAAAGAAAATATGAATAGAATAAAAATCTAGGGCTTTTGAGCACTATTCCCAAGACTTCTGTATCCTGCAATTGGACAAGTAGGGTGTAATGTGTAGGAAAATGTGATTGAGGCTGAAATAACAATCATGTTAATTTAAATGCTTTCAGGTTGAGATTTCTAGAAAAGTGAATTAAAAGATAAATTAGCAAAGTTAATTTTGAAAAAGAAAGAAATTTAGTAAGAAGATGAGGTCTGATTTTGTTTTCAAAAGCCATTGAAATTATTTCAGTAACTTAATTGTCCCGGATCTTGGTCTTCAAACTCAATGGGTTGATCTCCCAAAAGAGCCTAGGAAAGCTGCCTTTATGGGTCCTCTCAGGATTCTTGGGACAGGGCTTATCACTCGGCCCAAGGCTGGGCTTGACCAACAGCCAGGGAGGAGGTAAGAGCTTTGTGATTTGCAGATAAGACACACTAGAGGCCAGAACTCACTTAGAAACCCAGGGAGAAGCCAAGCTGGTCTTCCTACCACTGATGGCTCTTTGTGTTCCTAATTAGTTACCCTGAACCCATAGAGTCCCATCCCCTCATCGCATCAACCCAGGAGTTTGATGTTATGGTAAGCTATGATGATGCCTTTGCACTCTAGCCTGGGCAGCAGAGTATGACCCTGTCTCAAAAACAACCACCACCAAACCCCCCAACTAATGTCATGGTCAGCTGCTTCTGGGTCTCCCACTGTAACTGGCTGTCTTAGGTAGTGCTCCCCCAGAGCAGGTCTTGAGAAGGTTTGGGCACAAGCAGTTTACTAGGGAGAAGGATCAGTCAGGGAGTGAGGAAGTGAGCCAGGGAAGAAAAAGAAGGAAATGCATGGATCATTATGAAAGTTTTGAGATACACAAAAGTCAAGAAACATAAAATCCATGTGGATGGAAACAAATGAGGCCTTCTCAAGAACATGGACAAGCTGAGCAAGTTGAAACTTGCATGGGTAGATCCGAAAGGTCGCTATTGACTATGTTTCATGGAAATGAAATAATGAACCATAACATAGTCTGTCTGAAAACTTTTGTAGTGACACATACAAAGTCTATTAAGGAGGATGGTTACTTCTGTGTCAACTGGGGCTTCAAACCTCTGAGAAGCTCCAGAAGAGTGTGGATCACACCTGAGGGGAGAGGCAGCTGGGATATTCATCCTCCTGTTCCCATTCATTACTGGTTGAAGGAGGCCTCTTGGACCCCTGCTTGCTACTCTGGCCTTCCTTGTAGACT